AGAATTGTAAATATTATAAAAAGGAATTAAGATTTACTTCATTGGCAGGCTAAAGAGCAGGCAGTAAAATACATTAAATTAGTATAAAGTAAATTAATAAAAGAGGCGAAATATTGACTTTACTTCAAACATGTAAACACAAGCACTAGTGTTAACATGCAATAGTGTCTGTATGATAGAAGTATATACATGTATAAACACCATGTTTACGTTACAAAGAGTCACTTCTCATGTCCTCTCTCTGCTCCCTGTCTCTCTCTTTTATCTTGCAGGGCCACTTCCGTTCTGATAATTCGATGAATTGGGCACGTACAGTGCAAGCTTACGACAAGGCTGCCCCGCCAGGTCGTAAGGTCAAACTGAGTTCGCGCATGCTGTCTCGTGTTACCTTAGTTCCAGCGAATACCGACGAAAGTATGACATGATCTCGGAACATTGGTTGGTTTGGTTAGTGAAGAACGCCGCCAGCGAAGACCTGCGGGCGAATTCGCGGAACACCTGGTGTAATCCCCACTTCCGAACTGCATATTCCTAAAACCATTTCCATTAGACAATAGGTATCATGAAACGTACAGATGGTAAGGAAACAAAATGCGGAAATTAATTTCATTTTAAATGGCGCTCTGGTTTTAACAGACCATCTTCAATGCCTGCTTAGATAAGTCGTAACTTTTTTTCTTAATGAAACTTTAAAAAAATTAAAATTAAAAAGTTCATAATAAAATAATTACTATAAATATTATAATAATATGAATCTTACAAATTCGTACAGTAAAACCCCAAATAAGCAATTTTTCCAGGTAGCTTACCCAAAACGTATGTGCAAATTTCGTGCAAAATGCGTATGGTAAAAATTCGTGCAAAATAGACAAGTAACTACCAATAACGTCCGTTTTCATGATTCAAATTTCAATCAAGATTTCATCCAATTTCAAAGTTAGCAAATGAATGATACAATGACGAATAGAATAACAATTAATAATGAAAAATAAAACTTGACACGGAATCCAGTCTTTAGCTGATTTGTGTCCCCAATATCAAATTATCCTACCTTCTCTTCTTTCTCTGTTTTCTACTTCATTTCATTGCTTATTCTATATTCTTTTTTGAAATCATAAATAGGCAGGAAGGTTGTAAATTTATTTAAATATATTTGTTTTGATTTAATATATAAATATATTTTATATATAGTGGAATGCGTATATTTGTGCTCCTTTCGCTTTCCTGGAATATATTTGTTCTACACCAATGAATATAATCTGTGCAATTCATTTACTTCTTTTTCTCAATATGTTGTCAAATAGTTTCGATACTTTTGGATAAGTTATCACTATATAGCAGCAAGTTTATGCGTTTAGCCGTAAACGATGCCTGCCAATTTGCCCACACAAACTGTGAACTCTGCCCAGCAATCTTTAACAAGATATGCGGCTTTTGCTCACAAAAAATATGTATTTTCAATTGTCAAATGTTTTTGCCACCTAAAAGAGTATGAGCAAATTGAAATCTTTTATTTTTGCATATTTTTATTTTGGATTAAGGAATATCATATCATTAATAAATTGCTGAGGCTATTTTCACAGATGTAACTTCTTTCTCAAGGTCACCACTTGTTGGTTTCGAATAAACGTTTCCCATCACATATTGAAAGATCCATTGCATATGCATACACTAGGGTTCTTGGTAAATCATAAATGTAATTAATTATTTCCTTTTTGTAAGGATTTTAATTAATTTTCATTTTTAATAATACTCTAATGCTATGTAAGGTATTTTTCTTTTGGGCTTGTAATAAATAAAAATACTGTAGAATTAAAATAATGTAAAACAAATAACAGTGGATTTTAAATGTGTGTATTTTTGTTAATTTCTTCAGCTTGTACAATACTACGCGACTTCTAAAATACAAGAAACTTTAAATACTTTAAAAATTGATTTTGTATTGGTTGCCTAATTTAACGAGACCAATTAAAATATTTTTTTCATTTATTTTGCTGAAGAAAAATTTTGAAAATTTTGCGGGTTTTGCGATTGTGGCGCTTTTCGCCTGGGTTATATTCGTTTCAGCACAACACAAGTGTTAATTGCTATTTGCCTAGATTTTATACTTCGGTTTTTATGAAGTTGGGCGTCAGTGCCTACCTTCACGAGTATATCACGACATTTTTAGTGATCTTATCGGTCGTGTCGCTAGAAATACATTGCACTGCTTGTTTACTACGGATGAATCTTGTTAAGTCGCAATCATCATATAGCGGCGCGTCGAGAAAGGCGCGGCAAATGCCGTGAGATCATAGAATAAGAGGTACCATATATCATTACTCTATGGTGAAATATTCCCAATGTGAGTGAATACCCTGACGCGTCACGTCATAAAACCGATATATACATGCACCATGGTTTTACCTGGGTTATACTTTCCCTTCACTGTTAATGCATGCTGAAGTGTTTCAGCGAATGAATCCGTTTTTGTTTTTTGTTTTTTGTTTTTATTCAGAGCTAATCTATATTCATTTGTACGCCATCCCCGTACGCATCACGATACAAGCCCGATATGACTCTGCTATCAATTGTACTGGCATAGAGTGTATTTTTTTTAATCACCAATGGGTGGAATTTGAGACTTAAACCAGCAAGGTTCGCGATGTTCCGTTTATTACCGCTGCAATGCGTTTATTTTTGTTGTTTTGTCGCCAATCAAAATATTTATTTAGTATTCAGGTTTGTACTGATTTGTGACCTCTGGCCCTCCTGTGAAGTAAACTGGCCGGTGGTGTTAGCTCATGTTAGCTATTATTTATTAAATACTTTCATATCTTAAATCATTAAATTGTGATGTAAACATTATAATTACTCACTGCCATGTTCATCTTGACACGGTATTTTAAAAGCAATTTTGAGTCGTTTGAGTTCTTGAAGAGCGGGTCCCGTATGTTGTATTAATAAAGTAAAAATCTTGTGCCGAGTTAAATTTTCTATCAGTTTGTAAAATGCAGTGTAGGTATTTGAATCCTTTAAAGCATTATATCTTTTTATTTTTCATTTTTAATTGTTAGTCTACAATCAGCTTTTATGTTATACAACTAATTTTGATTATCTCTCCAGAGGTTAACTCTCTTACAATAGGTTATAAAACTAGCCTGCTACAGTACAGCGGTGGAGGTGGCAAAGACCAAAGTGCCAGTAAACCCAAGATCAATCAAATTAATTATTTTTTGTTGAATTGGATTTGCTATTTAAAATATTTTAACCCTATTAAAGAAAAATGTCTAATTTTGTAATTAAATTATAATTTTCTGAATGCTTTGTTGGTAATCAAGTATGAGAGACATTGTATTCTGAGCATTTTTGTTAATAGTGGTTCCTGAGCATTAGTCCTCAATAGTACACATTATAATATGAAATCCTCTTGGCCATACAAGTTTTTGAATCTTACCTTGTGAATCTGGCAATAGCAAGTTTTGTGGTCTTATAAACATCCTTACATTTTAGATATTAGAAACTTGACGTTGAAGAAAAGGGACTTTTGTAGAAAATAACTTTTTTTTTTCATTGAAAGACATTGCTACCATTTCCAAAAATACATTTGTGATCTTTCAGATAGCAGTTTTGTTTTTTTTCTTTTTTGAACAGTGTGGACAAATATCACTGTATGCAATAGAATATTCTGTGATTGTCTAGTAGTAAGAAATAGAACTTTTATTAAGAGATAGGTGTTTTCTTTACTTTCTTTATTGGTTTCTATAATATGGTTTTTGAATTGTTTTTCAGGGCAATTTAAACATGACAAGAATCAATTTTTTCAGTTTCTTGGAAAGAACACACTAGTGAACTTGCGCAACTGTTTAATAAAAGATTATTGGAGAGCATTTTTTGGTTGATTGCACTATATGCTGCTGAAGGTCAGAACCTGAAAAGCTCAATAGGCTTGGTTTTATCTGCAAGTAGTCTTACTTTCATGTAAGTTAAGCAAAAAAAGTAGTTTGTAAGAAATTCAATTTTTTTAAAGCTGTGTTTATGGTTTTTATTAATGTTATTCTTTGATTGCGTAAGAATCAATTTCTTAATTTTCATCTAGTGTTGTTTTGTATTGATTAATTTTTGGTCCCAAATTCATGCATGTATTTTAAATGATTCCAAACTAAACATGATTTGTGCGTAAGGTACATAGTTTTAAGTATATTTTAAGTTCATTAGTCAATTTTTTATCCATTGTATCCCTCCATAATTCTGTTTTTCTTCATTAGGTTAGTGATAAAAAATATTATCTTCATTTTTAATGAAGCTCAACAGCTTTCTTTAGAAGTTATTAATTATTAATTTATAATCAAAGAACAACTTTATTTATTGTCAAATATAAGTTTCACATATCATGCTCAACCTGTTTGTTCCTTTTATTTCTATTCTTTAACTACTGCCTTTCATGTTTTACACCGGAATGGTATTTTAACATGACCCGAGGACAACCTCCGATTCAGCCTTGCTGTACTTATAAAATTCCCTGTTTGTAGAACTGTCAGTTTTTCACGTTCTTGTGCGCATTTCTGCATCCTTCGAGTCTTTCTGCTGTTCCCCGTTGTTCATGCATGCAAAACCGAATGATGTTTTTGAATATGAACATAAACAATAATAGAAGCAATTACAAGTATTAAGATTATACAATTATATTCATGAAGATAAATGCTTTCTCATTTCATGCTAATTAGAGTTTCGAACATCAGCTTTCACTGGCTTCTGACTTTCTCACATTGCAGAATTACATTTCCCTTTCCCTTTTCAACTCTTAACATAATAAAATTAGGGACTTACTTTCTAGGCATCACTTTTGTAGTTTTCATGGCATGTACATCCTGCGTTACTATCTATTATTGTGAGCAACGTTTATCATAACCAATTGATCTGTTTCCAGGTTTATCATCCGCATCGTAAATGAAATCTCATGTTTTAGTTTTGTTAATAATGCGCATACTGTGATAACTAGTACGTAATAAATAGTCCTTTTTTTTCTTGGCATATAATAATGGTTGTCATCATGCATCATGCCATGTTATTTCAATGCATTTTCTAAAGAAGCAATAGTGATTAAATGCCAGTCTTGCTAATTTTATATTTTTGCAATTATATCTTTAAAACATAATTTAAACACCATTGGGAAATCCTTTTCAGACTGGACTGAGGCAGAGTAGGGTTGAACAGGCTTGGTATTAGTGGCACAAATATGCTGGTTGTGAAAATTTCCGTTCAGAATGCTGTAGTAATAAAACTGTGACTGTTGAATGTATGGAGGGAACTTATGACTTATTTGTCGTTTTAATAAATCAAAAACCACTGAAGCATGTTCACAGTTATTTTTAAGGGTGCAGTTCAGCAGCTACATTGATGCAGAAGCGTACAGTATCAAAGGCAAACACTTGGTAATGGAGGTGGGGGCCAACCCTAGTTAGTGGGGAAAAATGGCTTAGCTAGGTAGGATGACCCTGTTAGGCATCTCATTCCACAAAGAACTCCTGCCATATCTGGAAAGAAGGTAGAAATTAAATAGTGAAGCATACTACAAGATATGTCAAATGTGATAAACACAAATAAAAGTGATTGTCATAATTTGCCGAAGATCTTGCGTAGAGTAAGGCTCACCGCCAGTGTTTGATGTGTGAGTACCTTTGGTGAACAATAGTTAATAATAGACAAAGGTTCATTGAATTCTGTGTTTACAATAAGGTAAAAATTACAGCACAATTTCTTATGGAAGAAAGATATTAATAAATTTACCTGAGCAGCAGAGAAAAAAAATATTTTCTGATTTAATGGAGTGGCTATCTCTGGTTTTAATTTAATGTCTGGGCGTCAGCATACTTACGCTTCTCAGGGTCCTCTCTCTTGTCTTCGAGGACCTGAAAATACTATTCATACGAGTATTTACCAAAACAAAACTTGGTCTCGCTATAGTATATTCATTAATGTCGTTCTGTCATTTATTGCCTAAACTTCCCTTTTGAAGAATTAACAGCATTCTTGGCGTCGTGACAATGACGTCAGCGCCTGTTACATATTTCCATCTGGAGCTCTTCTTACGTCTACAAAGAGTTTTAACTTCTAAATTCCTACTCTTAATCGCGACGTAATTATGTCACGAGTATTACAGTATTTTCTCTGATAAACTGCATTTAAATTACTTCCATATTAGAAAATGGACATGTGGTCGACGTATATCTCCATGGACTAATTACAACAATATTTCAATTTATGCCCTGACGGCCAACGATGCTCTCTCTACCAAATCCAGCATAGTTCTGACTAAAATTGTTCGTTTACACCTATCCGGCCTGACGGTTCACTTGTTTTATTGTTATCTTTCTTTTTTATTTATTTACGTCAAAAACAGTTCAAAACTATGTGACGTGCAAATGGGAAGAAGTTAATTTTAAGTTACAATTATGTTCAGAAGCAAAACATGGGGCCATCACAGCATTTGCTCGAGTGCATTCTTCATCGACGCAATCTTGTCGCACCGTAACTATACATCGCAAGCGTCTTTCGTCCCCTTTCAACAATGTCCTACAATATTTATCTGCATTATTTTTTTTAAAAAAAAATTAAATTTCCCAAAATTTACTTAATCCAATTAATATTTAGATTTTCTGACTCCTCGCATTTTCAATGTCGTAGTTTCATTTGCGTCATCGCTTAATTCCTTATATTTCGCAAATTATTTGATACTAAAGTTTCGTTTACAAATGCCAAAAAGGTATTTTGACTTGCTTAAGTGTGAATATGAAATGACAACAGCATTGACATGAAATGTACTTGAGAAAGCAATAAACCACATCCCGAATTGTAGTACATGTAGAAAAATCATTTTAATGTAATCCAAATGTATATTTTTAAGTGACGTATTTCTGATTTAATCTATCCAATGATTGTCTCTAATTAAAAGATACGAAAAATAAATAGCGAAATAGACAATCAATACATAAATGATATAATGGCCCATTTTTATTTTGCATACTATAATTAAAAGAAAAATAAAAGAAACCGCGCGTACCCATGAAGATAAATCTTAGAAATTAAAATGGTCCCCAGGGCCTGAAAGAAACGCTAAAATTAAAAAATGTTCGAAATTAACCACCTGGATATTACTTCTGGATATCATCAATTAATAAATAATAAATCACCTAGATATACAGACCCAGGTGGTTTTGCTTGCGCTCCAGTTGTATATCTTAAACTGGATAATATTAAATTTTTATAAATGATCGGCTAAATAACACTATTGTAATAATTATTTGCCTCCTGTATGAAGGAACGACGAAAGCCATTATACCGTCGGCAGAACTTTATGTATCCGTATATAAATACATTGAGAATACTAATTGTAGAATTAAGTAAAGTAAAAGTGCGAGAAAGCTAAAATAGCATTAATATTGGCATTTTCAATAAAAAAGTATGATTAAAATTAAATTATTTTTCATATAAATAAATTTTTCTTGTGACCCGTAGGTGTGAAACCTGTATACATTTCAAGCAGAAATTACACAAAACTACTCATTCTTTTAAAAAATTGAACTTTACCTGTTTTGAAAATCTTATTTTACACAACAGACTTTGAGCCAAAAATCTAAAATTTCAAAACAATTACATTTATGTAATTTTTTAAAAAACAAAAGATTCAGCAAAATAAATTTTGTCATACCAAAAACTTCAATTAGCACTAACTGCACGAAAAGTTGGAAAAAATTTGTAACCGCTTTTCTAAAAAAAAAAAATGTTCCAATTTTTTTCAAACTTTGCAACAATTCAGAGCTTTAACAATAGCGTTTGAGCGTGCCTGAAAATGCGAAATTTTGAGCTAGTTTTCACAGAAATCTGTTGAGTTTTTTGGAAACCTTATATGACATTATTTAAAGCAGATGTACTCATAACTATAACAATGTGAACAAATCCCCGGTAATATTAACGAGAGAGACTAGTCAAAAAATTATTTTGGTATTTTTTGAGAAAACTAATGATTAGAGTAAACACATGTTCTTTGTAATCTCCTAGAGTACATTTAGCACTATCTATATCAAAAGTTTAAAGAACAAATTGGAGCCTTTTTTGAAAAAAATTAATTTTTTGTATTTTTTTTTTAAATTCCACACATTGCACGCAATATTGCGCGAAAACTATTAAAAGTTCCAAAAAATGTGCATGACGTTAATGAAAGACTCACTTTGAAGAGGGAATTTAATTTGAAGGAAAAATCTCGAAAAACGATGAGAGCGAGGAAAAAGAATGTGTTGCGAAATCGCAACGCTGATGCAGTACCTCCTAGATAGTACAAGGCCTGTCGCTTTGACGTCACAGTAGTCGTCATGGCAGCAAACGCATCTTTCGCCGGTTAGTCATTCCACGTTTACTTACCTTCTTCGCCGCGTTAATAATAATAATAATAATANNATAATAATAATAATAATAATAATAATAATAATAATAATAATAATATTAATAATTATTATTATTATTTGCAATATTTTATTACATTTCAGATAATTAAGTTCATTTTAACTACACTATTTTTTCTTACAATAGTTATATCCAGATTTTTTCCCCAAATTTTACTCCTTACTAAGAAATAAGCGTTTAGGGATATCTTACAAAAACATGTTATGATCTCACAATAATATTTTATTTCTGTCTTTTCTTTGCCTTTTTTCTCTTGGCATTTTTTAACTATTACATTATTTTTCTTTTTAACATAACTATTTAACAAAATATTGGTAGCACCACTTAGTATACATTTTAAAATAACAGATAATTTGTGGGGCAAACAATGAAAACCCTCAAAAATTTCCATTTGAACTTGTCGGAAAATACCAATTCAATTTCTTTATCGCAGCATTTGAACAGTATCCTTGCACGTAGGTAATGATGGGCCACAACGAATCCGAAATGCAATCTACATCATCTTCATTTACATCAATTAGAGTAAAATTTTTTTTCACTAACTGTTCTAGTTTAAAATTAACAATTATAATTGTTTCATTTACTTTCATCTGTCTTCACTTTATTCCCTGACAAAACATCCAAAGTTGTTTAATTACATTTTTAAATTAAAGTTCATTGGCTTCATTTTATAATTTTGTAATAAACATTCCTGCTTGAATTAACCCTCATGACAATATTAACAATTACCAAGTATTTTCAGCATATTTGCATATTTTACGTCAACTACATACATTTAAAGGTGCCGTACTGAGTTAGCTAGCTAATTTCAAGTGTATTTTCGACATGCAATTTCGATGTTGTTTCAAGTGTTATGTCGAAGAGGTTGGCAGCACCAAAACTCCACCATATTGCGATTTTAGGGGAGATTTGTGAGACGAGGAGCCGCTCATATTTACGTGTTGTAAATTGTGTGGTTAGATCGAAAAATGAATATTTCCAAATTATATATAGCGATATTCTCATGAGCAGTTCACTATCAAAATTGTACTTAGTGACAAATACTAATCGTAGTTCCAGTTCGGCTCATGAAATAAATAAGAGAAGATATGAATACGGTAAATTTCACCGTACCGAGACTTTTGATTACATCTGCAATATGATGAAACTTGATCAAAAACATGGTTAAATTGCCACCCACGTCCAATTGGTATTGATGCACACATAATGCTGAAAATAAGATAAATTTCTGAGCACATTTATTTACGTATCAAAATAACAAAATGTAGTGCATACAAAATTATAAATAGGAAATTAGTGATCATCTTGCTGACCATTTTGTATTTCTTCCTTCGGTAATTTCATTACACCCATTCCAAAATTTATTTTCTTCTCAAAAGTGTCTTTATTCACGGCAATAAAGTTTAAAAAATGTATATCATCGTCGGATACTCTTTCTGTATTTTGCTTTTTAAAAAACTCCAAATTTTATTTTTCAATACTTATTAATGCACTACCTATCTGTTCATTAATTTTCCTTTTTCTTAAATTGTTTCCTCCTGAAGTTGAATTTTCATTCTCAACTTCCAGTGAGATGAACATTACATCACCAGAAGTTTATAGAGTCACTTTCCAAATTTAATAGGTCCTCCTCACCAGCTTCATTAAAAGTACCAGTAGACGCCCTTGGAGTGAACATGTCTTTTAAAAATGTAAGGTTTCAAAACAAGGTCAGCTTATTCTATGGTGCTGAACAGCAGCTCCAGATCTAGGAGTAGGAATCTGGTACCTATCTCGCAAAGCCTTCCATTTGCTTCTTACTAAATCCCCTGAAATAAAAAAAAATACTCTTAATTTTAGGTACCTGTCAACTGGCATGTCCTTGAGAGGATTGTCAGTCACATTCAGAATGGGCGTTCCTACAGTTCATAATCAAAGAAACTGTAATGGTATTATGGAAAGGTTTTGCATCAATGCACATGCCTGTCCCTACACAGAATTATTTTAAAACAATAGCAAATGACTTTCACGAACTGTGGAATTACCCACATTGCATATGGACCATTGACAGCAATCACATAAGGATTAATTGCCCCAAACATTCTGGGGCAATGCTTGACAATTATACGAAATTCTTTTCTATAGTTTTACACTGTGTTGTAGATGCAAATTATAAACTCATAAACATTGAAGTAGGTGGCTAAGCAAAACAAAGTGATGGGGAACTTTTAGTGTCTGCCATACAGAAAATGATTAATAATAAAACATTATCACTGCCAGATGATGATGTGCTTCCAGGATCTGATATTGTTGCTCCATATGTCCTGATTACAGATGAGGCATATCCACTTCCCACCTACTTGCTGAAACCTTACAGTGGTACTCATTTAACAGATCAGGAATATTTTAATAGCAGACTTTCTAGGGCCAGGACTGTTGATTGTGATTTGTATTATGAACAGTAAATGCAGGATTCTGGCAAAATCAATAGAAACAAAAGTAAAAACAGCAGATAATATTGTAAAATCAATTTGTTTGTTACATAATTTAATTATTGATAGAGGGAATAGAACATAATGTAAATTATTTAACTTTCCTAAAAATACCATTGACAGAAATGTAGGAGGGAGGCCTTCCACATGTAAATGTACGGGATACTTTTACACATTATATAAACAATCATCCAATTGTACAGAACATTACTATATAATAAATTACTTTTACTTCTTCTGACATTTGTATTTATCTTTCCTTAGGTAAAAATGAAATTTACGATTTACCGAAGTGAAGATTTCTTCATAAATGACAATGACAATCCTTCAGTAATTATTTGCATTTTTGTTGTTGAATGAAAAACAAATATAACCTAACCTCTAAAACTTACGTGTTGAACTCATTTTGGCGGCCACTTCATCCCATAATTTGTCTAAAACGAATCTGTTATGATGATTCGTCTTCCTTTTGTCCCATAATGGGCTCTAGGAAAAAACAAAACTAAACAATTTTTCAGCATCCACTGTATTCGACTTTTCTACGCCTGAACTATGTCAGCTGTGGCATCGGCGAAACTACCAGCGAAAACCTACCAAAGGGTTTTCTTCGCTCTTATCGCCGGTTGGAGCGCTTGCTCCTTGATCCATTGAGCGCGCTGCCAACATGAACATTTCCTTGTGGACGCTTCGTTCTCAGCAATGCTCTTTTCGTTTATCGCTGCTCCAACATAAACGTACCCTTAGGCGTAAGCGCTGTTTACAGACAGTACGGACCCTGCATGGGTTACTACTCCTCACATGTACTTGTTTTACCAGGAGGCGTAAACTCCAGGGTGGGCACCTAAGCTCTGTGTTTTTATCCTCACCCCCCGGCGGCGCAGAAGTATCTGGCTGGTATCTGGATCCCGCAGGAACGCAGTTTGCCCTCTCGGCAACCTCCCCTTTTTTATGCCTGGGTCGGGCCGCCCTGCCATCTTAGCTTCTGTATCTTTCCAGCCTAGTACCGGAGTCAAATCAAAGGACACTCATATGCACCAGGACAAGTCTCTCCTGTTCGTCCAGAGTATCGCCAACAGCCAGGACGAAGCCAAGAGCCCAACTGGAGGCCACCCGGACTAAGGTTTGGACGGCTCGGGTCATCCCGTCTTCTCCATGCCTACATTGTTAGGCTACCGACGAGAGTACCGCCGTGAACTTAGGCAACCTGACGGGTGGTAATTTTCCGCCGGATTTTTATATGTGTATTCCAGAGCATTCCCAGGAATCGTCATTAGAACCTGGTCAAAGGTGAACGCGACCACTGACGAGTTACCAGCAAGCTAGTATAGCAAGTAAAGCACTTGAGACAGCTGGAGTCATCAAGAATGTTGTTAGGGACACCTACTGTTTTTCCCCCAAAAAAATAAAAATTCAGGAACTTGCATTAACCTGGAAACTGAATCAAAGAATGATTGAAATACAAACCTTTAAATTTATATCAAATTTATTTCTTTAAAATCTCAGTGTATTCACAGTTTTTAAAAAAAATCAAAGAATTTCGCTAAAATTTTCTCATAATCCTTTTTGCGCAACGTTCTAAATTTCAAAATCTTACAACGTTGCGGAGGAACACGCACGCGGCGGTTTTTGACGTCGTAGAGGATCACGCACTTGGGCAGATGACGAAAAAATTCCCAACATTTTTATAAACACATTAGCCGTTGAATAGTCCAAGAGATAAATTATTTTTTGCGCGTTATTAATTCTATTCTCATTCTCAAATCTATACACTTTCATAATTTGGAAAATTTCCTATCATATTGTCACACTGGCTCTACTATACTCAGAGTTGCAAATCGATGGGAGCGAAATCACAACTGTTTTTCTTTGTCATGGTTTTCTGTTCCATTTTTGCACCGTGGCTTTCATATTTTCTTCCCTAAGGCAACAGCAGCGCTCGCAAATTTCTGCTTGAGACGTTGTGCAGAGCTTACGCAGCTGCCCGGCCGCTCCGACTCATAGAGTTTCACTTATGGTCAAGGACCCTAAAAACTCTTTCTTTGTATTGATGTATTCGAAAATAAATAAAATTTGGTAAATAACGGAAATATTAATCGTTAATACTATTTAGAAATTTCAAGAACTTAAATTTATTACCGCAAACCTAAATAATGTGTCAAGTCCATATGTGAGAGAATTTATTTCCATTTACGTAATGCCAAAAATAAGTTTATAAGGCTGTTTCCAAAGAACAATGTTGGTTTAATAATAACAAGTGGAACCCGGCAGACGTTATTCTGTCCTTTATCTCCCTCTTTCTCCTTCCCTCTCCCTTCCTCTCTGAGTCTCTCTCGTTGCCCCTCTCAGTGTGTTTGTCTCTGCATCTGTGTCCCTCTCCCTGTTTGTCCCCGTCTCTCTGTCCTTGACCCTCTTTCTGCGTCACACGGCAACGATCAGCGAAAATGAAGCCCAGGTGGAGCTCAGTTTGAATAGAAATCGAATGAAAATGAAGCGCAATTTTTTCTGCAGCGCCACCTCGTGATGTTACAACAAAAGTTTATGTTCACAGTACATAAACCTTCTGGGTGCAAAAAACACAATCAGAGAACAATAATTGTTCATATGCCACAAATATACAATTAATATGATATGCATGATTTTATTAGGTTTTTCGCCATTCACAGGATTTTTAGTGACCGAAAGGTCTGGGGATATTTCCCAACTTACTCTGTTTTTTCTTCTTGGCACATTAGCGTCTACTGTATTCGCTTTCTCTATTGAGAAATATTTTTTAAATCAACTTTCGTGACTAACTCATAAAGAAAAATAAGACGATCATTTGAATAATGTTCATTTCTAGTTTGTTTAATAAGTTTTCCTCCAAAAAAGGTTATAGGATATTCTTGGATTGGTTACTCGAATTAAAAGTAATAACAAAGACTGTCAAACTCCTTGTATTTTTGCGTCTAACGTTGAGTGCGACAGACCTTTGGGATCCAAGGATCACCGCAGGTTAAATTTTTGACGGGTAGCGAAGAATTATTTCAAGAACAATGTAATCTACAAAGGAAAGGGGGAAGATAAAACTTACAGAAAATCGCAAGAGATTAAACATCTATATAAAAACTATAAGTATTATAATTGTTCCAAACCATCCTACTCCATCTCTCCCGGATTACGACAATGGAATAAACTTAAAAAAGAGAGCATAGCGTATTACGTACGCTTTAATATATGAGTCCGTCTTAGAGCTGCGAGATTGTAGCGCCGAGCGAAGGTCATAGCTTCAAGGCAACTGTTTTGGTTGCGTTTCCAACTGATCAGCAAGGATGTACGAGAAGAAAGCCATTCCACACGCGTTTCAACAATTGGACATCCCTTCAAATATCTTCGTGTGTGATTGGAAAAGCTTGCCTTTTCGCAAAAACTCACCACTTCACACGACGCAGCGAAATGGATGTTCTCACGAGTGAATGCGTTTGTGACGAACAAGCTGACGTTTCTGACTGAACGCCTCATCACAGACTTCACAGCGATACGGACACTCTCCCGTGTGTATGCGGGTGTGGTAGTTAAGATGGTTTTTCTGAACAAACGTCTTGCTACATACGTCACAGCGATAAGGTCGCTCTCCCGTATGTATGCGACAGTGAGCTACGAGATTGTTGCGCCGAGCGAAGGAAACTCCACAAACGTCGCAGTTGAATGGACGCTCTCCCGTGTGCGTTAGACTGTGAACGCTGAGGTGAGAACGCTGAGTGAAGGAAACTCCACAGACGTCGCAACTGAACGGTCGCTCTCCCTTGTGTTTACGAATGTGAGCGACGAGACTACAGCGCTGAGTGAAGGAAATTCCGCAAATGTCGCAATTGAACGGACGCTCTCCCGTGTGCGTACGACTGTGAGATACGAGATGTCCGCGATGAGTGAAGGAAGCTCCGCAAACGTCGCAGCTGAATGGACGTTCGCCCGTGTGCGTGCGGCTGTGAGCGGCGAGATTGCAGCGCTGAGTGAAGGAAGCACTGCAAACGTTGCAGGTGAACGGTCGCTCGCCCGTGTGGGTGCGAATGTGCGTGACGAGATTGGAGCGCTTAGCGAAGGACACTCCGCAAACGTCGCAGCTGAACGGTCGCTCTCCCGTGTGTGTGCGTTTGTGACAGTCAAGTTGGTTTTTCTGAATGAAATCCTTCCCACACTCGTCACAGCGATATGGACGCTCGCCCGTGTGCTTGCGCAAGTGAATGACGAGATGGGAACTCCTATAGAAGGAAGCTCCGCAAACGTCGCAGCTATGCTTTCTGTGGTGAGTGGGCTTGTTACCGGCGAAGCTACTGGACGACGCAAACGCCTTACGGCCCTTGGCGCTCAGGTCTGACTCTTCGCCCTGACCCTCAGGCAGCTGCAGCTCCGAATGCGGCAGTGGCGTTGAGCTCTCCTGCGCCTCACAACCCCACAGCCGCACTCCACTCTGCTGTGGCGTTGCCAGGTAATCCACCGGCGGGAGAGCATCTGCCCCTGAACAGACAGGCAATGTCTCTTAGCAACATCTTACTGTCTAGCTTAGTTCTGGGTCCCTCTACTATAAAGAACGTCGATAGTTATTAGCGTTTTTGAAGCGTGGTCAGCGAATGTGCACTTACATAAATCAATAAAACAATTAGACATGCTCAAAAGTGGGATATGTGAACATTTTAAGATGCGAGAAGAAGATTGGGCGATAATGAAGTTGGATGAAAAGATCGCACGCAGTCCGTGCTTGCTAAGGCGTCCTGGCTTTCTCTTTATACTGTTAGGACAAACCGTGGGAGCATACCGCATTAAACCAACAGGTTCCTAGAATTCTCTCGACGGTGGATCAATTTCACCTAGCTCGCTAGAGTCCAAAATTCGCCACCATCGGAATTCTTACTCCGGAACGTTCCGGTTTGCGACACTGCAGCGGCCACGGTGACGCCACGGATCCTTCGAAGCTAGGAATAGAAAATAAAAATGACAACCAAATACAGTTTATAAATTTCCGCATTCCAAACTTAACAGGGTTAAATTATTGTGAAGAGTCTTACACAATAATAGTCCAATCGTGCTCGCTAAAACTAGAGGTGCTAGAACATAATACTCTTTAGAATTATTTGTCAATCCTGCAATTTTTTAAAATTTAGAGTTCAACGAAAATTTAGTAGCTTGACATTCCGTAAGGTGCGTATCACATTTTTCTCGTGTTTAAACTGAGAATAATTCATAAATATGGGAGCCGTTCTGAGACGGAGCGAATAAAAATAATTCATACTATAATTTTTATGTTGTAAGAACTCTATAAGGTAGACGCTGCAAACGGGCCAGAAAATAAAGTCTCCTACAAGAAAAATGGTGGACATCCGGGTACTAATTTCTAAACTATGCGGCCGGGATATATTGACGCGGGCATAGGGTTGCGGACGGGGTTGTGACGTAGGCAGTCTGAAATACCGAGCCATGCGGCCGGACCAACGGAAAATTCTCGGGTCGCCGCGATATCCCGCCGAAGGGGCGCACGTTGGTAGAGGGCACCGAACCACTGAGTCCCGGACCCAGCTATGCGAGGGTCGAAATGGAAATATGTCAGAGTGCACAGAACGGAGGTAACCCATCACATAAATACGAAGGATTCACTATTTTCACTTCTCGACAAAACTTTGGGCAGCGTGTCATCTAGACAGAACTTTGAATCGCGCTTCTTCTGAATAGAACTTCGCTCTGCGTCGCTTCTAAAAGTTATTTGAAACCGAGCCGCTTCTTTGAAAAGTAACCGCAGACCGCGTCTGTTCTATTTGACATCACCGCGGATCTTGCTGCTTCGCTATGCAACCGCGTCGGTTCATTTGTTCAAAGCAATTGCGGATCGAAACGCTGATTCTCGAATAGAACTGTTAACTGCACCGGAACAAACGCTCCCGTGAGGGTTATGAACGGGCCGCAGATCAACTATTTCAGCTAAAAGCAGCAACGTGCCACGAGTGGGGGATTTGTAGCCGTGATTAGAGGCGATATCGCGCCGCGTATACAGATATGGCATATCCCCGGGGACGCTGCTTGACTCGACGCCGCTTCACGGCCTGCACTGTGTGGAAGCAGCGGCCTCACAACTGCGAACGAATACGCGGAGCCGCCGTCATTCATCGAACTTCGTTGGCCGACCAGCGCCTCCTCCACGGGATGAAGAGTGTGGTGAGCGAGCTCGCCTTTATGGCAGAACAATAAACGCGTGTGAAGGACGAGAATCGGAAATTGATAGAATAGTAATTGAAATTGAGACGAGTCGGTTCAGATTATCAGAAAAAATGTACCGTACATATACACATACATCTAAAGAATTACGAAAGCAACGTAGCATGCGATGTGACAAAATGGCGAAGCCATCGTATCGCATCGCATCAAGCAGATTCAGTTCCTCACGGTAAAAGAAGATTACCGATTCTGCAAGTTCCTCTAAGTGAAGATTACTGTTACATAAACATGTGATATACACCGTAGTTACCAGAGCAATCATGGTTCACTTTGAAAACTTGTTTTTCAAATAATTAGTTGTTCATTTCTAAATTAATTATAGTCATTTCTTAACACTACAAATAAGCATTTTATTTAATTTATTATTTTTTCTAGATCCCGAATTTTGTTCGGATTATCCGAAATTTTGGATTTGCGGGGTCTTATTCCAGATCTTTTTTAAAAAACTTCGAAAATGGTTTTACTTTGGACACTATTGGTTTTGCACAAATTTCTTCGGTAACGCAATGTTGTTATCTCCGTGGTTCTCGGACAATCCTACATATGACCTCGTGAGCATAAGTGAAAGCTCCGTCGCCCTGAGCGGCGGCAAACGGGAACAAAATTGGGTGCATATCCTCGCCACACGCACCGATCTTAAGCATCTTTCGAACAGTACTAACAGACCCTAATCCTGACGTGTGTGCAAAGTTACAGCTGAAAGGTTCTTAATCATGGTTTGCACTGAAATTAAAAATTACTGAAAAAGCAGATTTTAATTATTTAAAAGAAAAACGAAAACTTACATTTTTATGACAAGAAAATTTACATAACGATATACGCATTAAAAACTCAAATTTAATTACAACAAACACGTACATATCAGTACTGAAAACAATTCAAGTAAAAGATAATGTTTTCAACAATAATATGAATGGGTGAAAACCATAACTGTATAAGTGACATTTTATACATTCTGAGAAATCCATTTATTTAAATGAATATCACTGTAAAGACGTGGGGCTTTGTTTCATCACTAAAACCATGTCATTTCAGCTGTCCTTTAAAAATACAAAAATATGTTGCCACTATGGCCTGAAATAAAGACTTGTTTTCTGAATTTATATAAAGTCGCTTATATCATTCTAGTTTTCCCCTAATAGGCAAACGACTTCGCCATGAGTTACTAGAGCACACCTCAGTTCACATTCTATTTATCAATTTCCAGTAAGAAAACACGCCGGGGTCCTCTAGAGAATAAGATCTGGACATGCAAAATTAAGTCATCTTTACTTAATCAAACTTACTTTCCTTACAAAAATCATCTCCCCCACGTGTGAAATGTGCACAGAAAAACAAAATCTAGGGCGTACTGTTAAAGTTTGTACAAGATTCAATCAGCTAAGACAATTATTTGGATTTAATCATGAATCAATTGAACTGAAAATCAAAATAATATGATTAACTTCTGTAAAGCCACAAATATTTTTTTTGACATTTGACACCAGTCACTTGTAAATATACTATAATATAATATAATATAATATGTACTATAATACTATACTATATACTATAATATAATATACTATAATATAAGTAACTTCTATATTGTATTGATTTAATATTGTATCAAATTGCATTATTGTGTTCATTTTATACTGTTCCCATTTATATTTGTAGCATTATAATGTATCTGTAACTGTAATAGTCACTAATGACCACAATGTTGATGCAACTATAAATAAATTAATTTAAAAACTCTCTATCATCAATATTGTACTTTTGCAATATTAGAGATTTGCAATTTTAGAAAATACTTAGGCAAAAATTGAACCACCACCATTTTTTCGGTATTTGTGATGCTAAATACCAGGAAAAATTTCAAGAAAAGAGTGAGCAGTTTCGGAGAAATAAATTGTTTAAAAATTGTCTATTTTTTTACTCAAAATTGCGTAAAAACAACTGTATGACCTTTAAGTTAAGATTCTGATGAAAAAATTCAGTAACAGAAAGTTTTATCTGCATTACTGTCATTGTAAGAAGACGGCCAAAAATTTAAACTTTCGCAATTCATGCAAATTGAGAGAATTGAACGAAAATCCAACATATGCCATCAACATCTTTTGCTAACATTTGAAAAAATTAAACAAATAAATTAGCGCAACTTTTGGAAAAATACTGGGGGCATGTATGTACCCCCAGCATTTTGTAACATATCCCCAAAAAAAACAAATGATTCAAAAATAAGAGGCAGCGACATCATTTGGAAGAACTGGGGAATATCAATAACGGTGCTTACATTTTGACTACAACTGTTGTTTAGAAACAGACATTTTTACCAAGAAGCCAACTTTTCGGAATCAAGGACCCACAAAACATGGAATCTGACTACACGTGTTAGAGGAGGTAATTTATTAGATATAGGAACAAAATGTATCCACTTTGTCGTCACCAGGGATCGGTAGTGTTTCTCTAACAAAAAAAAGTTTCCCCCAAAGAATTACGTTGCGTACTCAAAGTAGTAGGTGAGAAAGAAAAAAAACTGTAATGTTTTAATTGATTTTAAAATTATTTCAAATAAAATAACAAAATAATTTTGCATCGAAATATTCATTAAAACCCAAATTTCATCACAATACACGCAGACGAAGTGCACGGGTCTGCACGGGATCTCCCCCATGGGGGGGGGGCGCATATCCTCCCAGGATAAAACATTTGCTACCTAACAGGACTATAGTGCATATCATTGGTATACTCAGAAAATGCTCAGCAGTATAGCATGGTAAAATTCAAACTTGCGTTGGCATCATTGCTATGCATTTGTTATATTACAGAAACGTGATTACATTATCGGAAATGTATGTTTCCGATAATGTTAATGTGAGTTTGATATCTTCAAATATGGGAAGGAGGGAGAGTAAGAGGTTAATCTTCTGATGTACTGAATGTACTTCAATTTGACTATCCATATGAGGAAATCTGTATTTTATTTTAAATAAATATAAAAAGTATGATTCACCAAGAAATTTAAAAAAACAAGTAAACATATAAAAAACAACACCGTTTTCCAGCCCAGTGTCTTACAGCTAATATACAGTGTGATACAGTCCTCGTTGCTCATACAGGACCCGGTGATAGAGTGCACTAAGTTATCCATGACTGCCAAGAAAAAAAATATATAAATCCTATTCAAAATTTTTAAACAAAAAATGTTTTGTCAAACATTGTTCATATTTTGCAAAAAAATGTACCACACATATTACATTACTTCTTGTTCCCTATCGCTATTATTGCCTACTTATCTAACAAATTCGAAAGGAGAGAAAAACACTTTTATTTCAGTGTTATTTATGATATTTGCTATATAGCCAAAATTTCGCATTTTCATCTCGTGTAACAGGGGCTCTACAAGTGTTGCTCTTGCGTGAAAGCTAGATCTGCGAAGCACGGCCTCTGTGACGCGCACATTGTCGGGTTGTACCTTTATTTCAGCTGCCACACTTCCAATGCACCAAAAATGGTAATCACCATCTTAGACTTCGGTAGCATACACTCGGTATTGCATCAACGCCAGCTCCAAAAGCGTTGGGAATACCTGAGTTATAAAATTCAGATACTAAACGCCTCTTAAACGTTATGGTGAGAAATGAGGACCGAGGATAAATTCATCCTCAATGCCAACCGACACATTTACAGAAAATCGCTCTTGATGAACTACACTACTTGCAACATGCGGATTTTTCTTGACCTTCGTACGTAAATTAATTGAGTAAGTTCTTGTAAAACAGGCTTCATGTGACGAAAGAAAACAATTGCCGGTTTCATTTGCATTTGTGCAGGAAATGCCTAGAGAATTGAAAACGATGTTATACGTGTGTACGGCGTAAATGCTATCCTCTGGAAATGGAAAAGACGTAATTTCTCCGCATGAATTGTTCGCCATGCGACGGACTGTGATGACCTCGCGCACTATTTGCCTTGTGCTCGCTTCCGGTTTTTTCGGGTAGTATTAGCAATCGCGTTTTCCAGAGAAGTGGCGAGCCCGCTCGCTCACTTGCTGTAGCCCGTGTTACACGTGCATAGTCCAAAGTTTAACGTTAATTATTTACAGAACTATAAGATGAAGAGTATCCAATTTTGTCAAATTCAGTCTGTACAAGATACAGGGGACAAGGTTGCGGCGTATTAGCAACGAGGACTCAATGAACCTGTATAAGAAAATACCGAATAAATGCAATAAACGTTAATGCGTTTGTTAAATTTCTTCATCATTAATTTAGTTCTTCTTCTACGTGCCTGCAATATTTCCTGATTTTTCCAATGCCATAACATGTACCTACTGACTTTTCTAGGTAATCCAGATGTGCATAAATCCTGATAGTAGGAATAAAAATGTGAAGATATTCTTTTACTTACTTGAGCAATAGTCTAGAATTTGTTCCCCACATGCAGAACCTGCTTCTTCTGTCCTTTCATTTGTAACATTTCCTGACTCATCAGGATAATCTATATGTTCTCCACCCTCTTCATCAGTCAATTGTTCACCTTTTGGTACCAAAATCGCAGGCGGCATTGATCCATTTTCCTCAGCAACATCTTGGCCAGAAGACATTTGATCTCCCCATTGCGTAAGCTGCTGCTGTGGATACGGGAACTCTGATGATTCAATATTTCCACCAAAGGTCTCATTGTAACCTTCAAATGAGACAAAACACACGAGATTAATTGAGGTATTCCTCAAAGGTTTTCTTGAGAAAGAAAACCATATTTCAGAAAAAAAATACATTTATTTTTGTACAAATACCACTCTTCAACACGCGTACAAGAGGGAGTGCACTATCTCCTTCATGCACAAACTTTCACCGTGATGTACATCTGTACTTGGATTTATTCACAGGTGCCTCTGACGGAAA